GCAATATGAAAGGCTCTTGATTTCAGTATAAATTTTTGAATTTAAACAATGGCCTTGAATCCACAGATTCATGATCAATATAACTGAACTGGAAAGCTATACTTTTTATTCATGGTATTTTTCTTTTGATAGACATTATACAACTTCTGGTTGATCAGGGAGTATGAAACTTTTCTGACAATTGCAGTAGTATATAACATAGGCTAACAGCTTATACATAAGAAAAAGAAAGAAATATGTTTCTATATCTGTACTACTAGAGTTAATCTTCTGATGTCACTAGTTTTTGCTTCTTATTCCCTGGTTGAAATATAATCCAAATATTGAGGCTACAAGGGAAATTTCAGGAAGAATATTGTTTATCTAAGCTACATTATATTTTCTGATTTTGTTATTCCCACTATTGCTTTAATCATGGCACTAAAGTCTACAGATATTGGAAGATATCTAGCAAATAGTGAAATCTACTTGGAGAAATTGTGGCTTGAAGAGCCATGTGTGGCAATGAGTAAGATACAAAATGAAAACTCTTGTAACATCTCAAATTGTATCCCAGATGATTATTACTTGGTAATTTGCTTAGCAACATCATTAATTCAAAATTCTGTCAATAGTTGTTGACTAGGAGCAATCAATACAAATAATTTATCTAGTTTCCAGGTGGATTCAAAATTCTGGTGCCTACTTTTAAAGCTTTAAAAGTAGACTCCATTACAACAATGTAATATCAGGGCTGAAATATCATGAGTTATATTAGTATAGAACAAGACATGAAAGGGCAGGGAAAAGATTAAATGGAGATTAAGAAACTTTGAGGAAGTATTTTGACCAGCGACAAAATGACTATAGTGCTTTGATACAAAAATAATGAGTGACAGTTTTTATGAAATCATTTGCAGATATTTTGATTTATTAGTTTATTGTTTTAATTTATATATCAACTGAACTGACTTTTCAAGACACCTTAATTTTTTTCCTTTTATTTTATTTGTCAATCATACCTTAATTATCCAAAAGAATGTGATCCATTGTCATTACTACTTTGAAGGCTAAATTGTGAAAAGGGAGTATTTAATAAAATATTACAGTTTGCACATTGTGATTGACTCTTGGTTGTTTTCTAGAGAGAGCCCTAAATCCATCTTTAACACATGCCATACAATCAGATCCCTGCTTTTAACAGGATGGCTCACATAGTTGAAAATAAGATTTTATTTTTATTTTTTTCTGTTTTTTGCAACCATCACATATTCCAGAAGCTTA